CAGCACTGTCCCTCCAGGGGGGCCCAATCTGCTTCCGAAATGCAGGGGGATCTTGCCCGTGTCCCAGACTGCTCCGGGGATCTGAGGGCCTTCCCGAGAACATCTCGGTGCCGGCGTGAAGGCCCAGAGATCCCTGGGCACACCAGGAGAGCAGGCTCAGAGTCCCTGCCTGGGGCCAATTTGGCTGCCTGAAAACAAAGAAGCCTCTAAGACTCAGCTGGGGAGTTTTAGAAGCCAGGCATTCCTTGCTGACAACACCCTGCAGTGATCCCAGCCCACCAGGGGTCCTGGCCATCAGCTCCTACAGCACTTACAACCATACACACCTACCCTGATAAAGATTCTGAGGGGCTTCATCCAGGGGCCTCCGAGGTCTTCTCTGTCTGGAGCATCCAAAGTCCTGAGTGCCCGCCTTAGGAACCTCGAGACAACTCACCTGCTGACAGAGGAACTTGGTGCTGCTTGGCTGCTGCCTCACTTCCCTTCTTCCTTGTTTCTTCCCCTCGCTGGCTTAGACCCTTTCAATCCTCTGCCTCAGCTCTGGGCACTTTCCACGCTACAGCCCTCTGTAAAAAGTATCAGCTCTTGTTACACTTCAAAACTCAGACAGCATCCCCCCTTCTTTCCTAACACTTGGCCATTAGGCCAAGGTCTCCTTATATAAAGCACAGTTGGACTCCTGAGGGACTACAACAGCTACAGCCCTGAATCCTAACACAGGCTGACACGGATGACAACTTGGAAGGATCCAGTTTGTTCCGCTGGAATCCAAAGGAGCTTCCCCAACTCAAAAATAGGGTGCCCAAGGTCCCTTTTCTGCAACTTGAACTGCTAGAAATGGGATCAGCCAGGCCTGCAAAGGCCCTTTCCACTTCACCTGGACAGGCTGGGAGTCCCACCGCCTGACAGGGACCCAGCGGCTGGGCAGGAACGGACGGGCTGGGGCGTCCAATTCATAGGTCGAGGCGTCACCGTCAATTCCGGGAGTTTCTGCAGGGCAGATCCTAAAGGCAGCAAAGAATTATGAGGATCGCTTTTTGCTTTCATGGGAATAGCTCCTGTAATAGGGGAGCTTGATAAGGCCTCCTGGTGCAACAAGGACAGACTTACGGCCATCTACTCAGAGTATCTACTAGCACTGAAAAGGTATCACTGTCCTCCTTCCAGGGCTAACTGGAAAAAAGGCTGCCTAAAGGCCGCCCTTGCACCATCTATCCAAGGCAGGAAACTCTTAGAGGGGATTTTAAAAGTTTGCATCGGTCTTACTACACATCCGTAGGGAGCAATCCGGAGTCCTCACTGTTGTACCGTTCCCAGGAAGGCACTTCATGGACTGCCTGTGGCTCAGGGAGGGCTCAGGTGGCTTCGCTTCTTCCTTCCCAATTTCCAGAGCTTCTCCTTCAAAAGCAAAGGTTTCTTGGCTTGCCTTGCTCCTGGGACACGCAGCAAAAGGCATCTTTTAAATCTACTGCTGGCATTCTGATTTTCAAGGATACTGGGGTTGCCTTACCCACACAGATCGCAGCTTAGGGCTAATACCTACAGGCTCTGCCCTCTTCCATTTTCCTGGAATTCCATTGGCCCTCACCACAGGAACAACTCCATCTGCCGCTTCAGTCGGGATGGTGCTGCTGATGGGAGTTATTTCCTGCACAAGAAGAGCTGCTGCTCTCTCACAGTGTCAGCAACTACAATTTCAATCTCCCCATTTTCCAAGTTCATTTCTGCCTCAACTTATCCAACCCATCTCTTCCCAGCAAAGGCTTAGGGGAGCCTGCAAATAAACCAACTGAGGAAATACCCAGTGTTTTCCCAGTTTAACCCCTGTCACACCAATCACCTTCCCAGTGCCATCCCTTTAATTCTCCCTCTGGTGTGTTAAGGCCTGAGGAAGCTGGACCTGTGTCTGACCAGGACACGTGCAAACCAAACGGTGGGGACTGGAACCCACACCTTGCACTCCTGCAGCTCTCACAACATCATTCAAGAGAAAACAACTAATGGTACCATCACCACTCATTCCTTAATTCCAATCCCGCATTCCTTTTGCTGTTGGAGCACCACTTTTATAACCCAGTTACAGTCCATTCTAGAGCTGCGTGGCCAGGACACACAGCTACACCTCTGATACTCTCAGGAATGCCTGAATCTATTCCAGGGACTTTGCTTTGAGCTCCCCAGCTTGGGGCACCCGGAGGAGCTCCCCGAAGAACAATTTCGGTGCGCGCTGGAGTTCTCCGAGTGTCCCAGTCCGGGGGCAGCTACAGCACTGTCCCTCCAGGGGGGCCCAATCTGCTCCCGAAATGCAGGGGGATCTTGCCCGTGTCCCAGACTGCTCCGGGGATCTGAGGGCCTTCCCGAGAACATCTCGGTGCCGGCGTGAAGGCCCAGAGATCCCTGGGCACACCAGGAGAGCAGGCTCAGAGTCCCTGCCTGGGGCCAATTTGGCTGCCCGAAAACAAAGAAGCCTCTAAGACTCAGCTGGTGAGTTTTAGAAGCCAGGCATTCCTTGCTGACAACACCCTGCAGTGATCCCAGCCCACTGGGGGTCCTGGCCATCAGCTCCCACAGTGCACACAGAGGTGCCTCCGCTGCAGCTGATGGGAGGACTCAGCATTCCGTGAGGGTTCATTTTGTTCCCTGCGTTCCTGTTCCACGCTCAGGACGTCCCCCAGCACTTACAACCATACACACCTACCCTGATAAGGTTTCTGAGGGGCTTCATCAAGGGACCTTCGAGGTCTTCTCTGTCTGGAGCATCCAAAGTCCCGAGTGTCGGCCTTAGGAGCCTCAAGACAACTCACCTGTTGACAGAGGAACTTGGTGCTGCTTGGCTGCTGCCTCACTTCCCTTCTTCCTTGTTTCTTCACCTCGCTGGGTTAGTCCCTTTCAATCCTCTGGCTCTGGGCAGTTGCCATGCCACAGCCCCCTGCAAAAAGTATCAGCACTCGTTACACCTCAAAACTCAGACAGCATCCCCCCTTTTTTCCTGACACTTGGCCATTACCCCAAGGTCTCCTTATTTAAAGCACAGTTGGACTCCTGAGGGACTACAACAGCTACAGCCCTGAATCCTAACACAGGCTGAGGGACAAACACGGATGATAACTTGAAAGGATCCAGTTTGTTCCGCTGGAATCCAAAGGAGCTTCCCCAACTCAAAAATAAGGTGCCCAAGGTCCCTTTTCTGCAACTTGAACTGCTAGAAATGGGATCAACCAGGCCTGCAAAGGCCCTTTCCACTTCACCTGGACAGGCTGGGAGTCCCACCGCCTGACAGGGACCCAACGGCTGGGCAGGAACGGACGGGCTGGGGTGTCAAATCCATCAGCCGGGTGTCAACGTCAATTCCGGGAGTTTCTGCAGGGCAGATCCTAAAAGCAGCAAAGAATTATGAGGATCGGTTTTGCTTTCATGGGAATAGCTCCTGCAATATGGGGAGCTTGATAAGGCCTCCTGGTGCAACAAGGACAGACTTACAGCCATCTACTCAGAGTATCTACTAGCACTAAAAAGCTATCACTGTCCTCCTTCCAGGGCTAACTGGGAAAAAGGGCTGCTTAAAGGCTGCCCTTGCACCATCTATCCAAGGCAGGAAACTCTTACAGGGGCTTTCAAAAGTTTGCATCGGTCTTACCACACATTGCTCCGTAGGGAGCAATCCGCAGTCCTCACCGTCCTACCGTTCCCAGGAAGGCACTTCATGGACTGCCTGTGGCTCAGGGAGGGCTCAGGTGGCTTCGCTTCTTCCTTCCCAATTTCCAGATTTTCTCCTTCAAAGCAAAGGTTTCTTGGCTTGCCTTGCTCTGGGGGATGCAGCAAAAGGCATCTTTTAAATCTACTGCTGGCAGGCTGATTTTCAAGGATACTGGGGTTGCCTTACCCACACAGATCCCAGCTTAGGGCTAATACCTACAGGCTCCGCCCTCTTCCATTTTCCTGCAATTCCACTGGCCCTCACCACAGGAACAACTCCATCTGCCGCTTCAGTCGGAATGGTGCTGCTGACGGGAGTTATTTCCTGCAAAAGAAGAGCTGCTGCTCTCCCACAGTTAGTGTCAGCAACTACAATTTCAATCTCCCCATTTTCCAAGTTCATTTCTGCCTCAACTTGTCCAACCAATCCCTTCCTAGCAAAGGTTTAGGGAGCTTGCAAATAAACAAACTGAGGAATTACCCAGTGTTTTCCCAGTTTAACCCCTGTCCCACCAATCACCTTCCCGGTGCCATCCCTTAATTCTCCCTCTGGGGTGTTAAGGGCTGAGGAAGATGGACCTGTGTCTGACCAGGACACGTGCAAACCCAACGGTGGGGACTGCGTTCCTGTTCTATCTTCAGAACATTCCCCAACACTTGTTACCATATACACATCTCCTTAGATGGTCTCTGAGTGGCTACACTGCAGGTCTCTGGTGGTCCCCTTTGCCTGGAGCCCCCGTGTTCTAAGTCATCACCTAATCAGCTTCAAACAATTCACCTGGTTGTTGAGGAATTTGGTGTTGCTTGGCTAGTGCCTCAGTTCCCTTCTGACAGTCTGTCATTTACACCTTCAATCATGGGGCTACATGCTTTCCTTTCTATGGAAAAGACTATCTGAGATATTACAGTCAAGATATACACTCTGTTCCCCGTAGTTTACCTCTGATTTTATTTCAAAAATATTAATTCCATCCCTAAGTTACCTAGATTTTACCACAAAAACCCACCCCTGATTATCTCCTCATCTGTGCCGATGCCACGCACAGGTACCTACACACGTTTACTCAAGCCTACACAGGGCCAAGATTTCCTCACCTCGCACATCCCAAGGTGAGTATCCTGCTTAGTGAGTACAGCAAGCCTCCTCTCCTTGTAAACAAGGGACCATTTTCCCTGGCCATTTCTCTAAGGGTTACCCTAAGGATGGGTACCCCCACCTCACCATTCCGACAGAGCCATCCAGCACCCCCAACCCACCCATCAGATCTGAGTAGAGCAGCACAGCCACAGCAATGCCAAGAGTGGGAACAGCAGCCCCACTGATGGGATTCCTGCAGCAGGAGACATGCACAGAGGGACACCTTTGGCCTCATACAACCAATACTGAATTTCCTCCAAATCTGTTCCCCAAGACCATCCACTCGCAACATTGTGCCAGACAACAGGTGGCAATAAAACTTTGATGCCTTCAAAACAGCCAAGTGCTTGGGTGCTTGCTATTTCCTTCCCCAGAGTATTATTAGTCCTTCAGAAATTGTACTCATAGCCCACTTACCATTACTCCCTCAAGCATTTCCCTCCTTGGTATTACCAGCACATTTACACAGGCAAGGAACTTAACAGCTCTTCTAAAGTTATCCAGGTGCCAATTACAGCCACAAAAGAAAAGCAAAAGGAAAAGAGGGCTCAGGCAGCCAGAGAGCTCTGCAGGTGGCACCAGGCAACATCACACTTGCTAAAACACGTCCTTTTGCACAGAGGAGGAGAGAGGTCTATATTATGGCAGGTTGTGCCCATCCCACAGTGCCAAAAAAAATCACACGCAGAACCAAGTAAGGCTCAGAGATAAGCCTGGGGAAAAAATGGCAAAAGCACGCACACCAGGACCTTCTCTCACTTCCAAGGCAAGACCAATCATCCCTCTGGGAAAAGGGAAAGACGCAGGGGTTTATCAAGTAGTGCATAACTTAGAAAGTCAGTTTAACAAATACCAGCAGGTTTTGTGCTCAGAGAAAATAAAACTCCCCGGTTTTAGTAGCAAAAATATCAGTGGAAACTACAGTCTGATTACAGCAGTAAGCTTCCCACAGCAGTTTCAGGTGCCTTCCTTTGTAGCTCAGCCCCAAAGTAGAAACTCCTCTCGACTGCTCCTGAGAGAGGCAATTACTTGGAACTTTTGGTGCTCAGGAAAGCTAGTCCCTCCCCTAAGTCCTAGCTCACCTGCCCGAGCACCTAGAGTGCTTATAACCCACCTCGCTCCCTGCTTTGCATGTTCATATCCATAAAAGGAACCTCCAAGCTCTTCCTCCAGTCCGAGCTGTATCTTCCCTGCACCCCCACACTCCCCCACCTGTTCACGTGCGCTGCTCCCCGGCACATCCCTCGGCCCCTTCCTTGAGCGATGATCCAGGTACCTCAGGTGCTTGGCCCCGTCCCGGTGAGACGCTCTCATTGTCACTGCTCTAGACGCTCCTTGGAACCGACTGCTCCTCTGCAGAAAATCTCCACTGAAAGAAGCACCCTCTCCAAAAGCCCCAGATACCACCCAGCAGGGCCTGCCCCTCGTCATCCTCACTGGGCACACCTGAGGCTGTCCCACCCCTCATCCTCCTCACTGGGCACACCTGACGCTGTCCCTTATGTTGGCTCCTCAGGCGGGCAAGTGACTTGGGGGCGCGGGCAGAGGCGGTGCGAGCCGCGGGGCGTGGCCAGCCCGATCCGGGGGGCGCGGCCGGCTCGAGCCGGGGGGCGTGGCCGGCCCGATCCGGGGGCGGTACCAGCGCGAGCCGGTGCCGGGGCCGGCGCGAAGTGCGCAGCGCGCGGCGGGAACTGTAAACGGCCGGCAATGATTCGTACACCTATCAAATCATTATTAATTGGAAACCGATTCCCTCATCTCTGTCCTTGTTTTTCTTGGCTGCAAAACCCGATGATCCCCACTGGCTACTGTTTAGGGTGCTTTTCTTCCACTGCTCTTTTCTCCCCGCTGAAACCTCCGGACATATTCAGAGCTTAGTTGGAGGTGAGCCCCTCTGAGGTATTTCCTCTCGTGCCAATGCTGTTGGATGAAGAAGTAAAGAAAACACGTCAAGAATTCCTTCTACCCCCTTCCTTTGCAAACGCCCTTCCAGTTTGTCTTGCACTCGAGCGCGTCCGTCCAATCGCAGCCCGCGCTGTCCCTGCGGCCCCGCCCCGCCTGCTCTGCTCGCTCGGCCCGGCCCGGTCCGGCTCGGCGCCTTCGCGCGGCTCCCGCCGCCGCCGCCGCAGCCCCGGCGGGCGCTGCTGGGACTAGGGAAAGGCGGGGGGAGCTCCGCGGTCACGTCCCGTCCGGGAGCTCTCCCGGGACAAGGGGAAGGGGGAGAGGCGGCGGAGCCTGCGGGGACAGCGGCGTTCTTGGAGACAGGCAGGGAGGGGCCGGGCGGCCAGGGGGCGGGGCCAGTGCGTGCAGGGGGCCGGGGCCAGCACCATCCCGCCGCGTTTGGCTCTGGGCTTTGGGGTCCTTTTGGGCTCGATTTAGGTGCGGGTTTGGGGGATTATGCACACTGTCCCGGGTCACAGTCCCGCCCCAGCTCGCTGCACCTGCTGCGCTCCCCGCACCCCTTGCACTGCTGCAGGGACATCCCCCGGGGGGCTGCAGGACAGGCTGCACCGGGATGGCCCCACCCGCTCTGCCCGCCCAGCCCAGCCCGGCCCGGCCCCTCCGCGTGGCCCCACCCCCGTTCCCTCAGGGGCCGGTAGACCTGGTGTCCGAGGCGGACGGGTAGACCTGGTCTCTTTCAGGGGGTAGACCGGGTGTCTATGTTCAAATGGTAGACCTGGTCTCCTTTAGTCGGGAGGCGGCGCCGGCGCGAGGCGGAGGAACTGTGAACGAGTGCCCACGAACACGCCTTTGGACAAATGGAATAACATCACTCTCCTCCAAAAAACACAGGCCACGCAGGGCTCTCCAGCCCAGGGCACAACAGCCACCACAACTGCAGGGAACACAGCCAGACACACACAGCCATTCACACTTATTCCCTAAAGCCCTCTCTGCACTTGGGGCTCCTGCCTCTTGATTTACAAAGAACTGGGGGGGGGGGGGGGGGGGGGGGAGCAGAGCAGGAATGCCCCTCAAAAACAGGGGCCTTGGCACCTGGAGCATCAGAGGAGGGAAGTTGGGAGGGGAGACCCAGACAGAGAACAGCAAAGGGGTTTGATCAGGAACAGGCTGTATGTCCAGCAGTGATGGCAACTGCAAACACGGGATGCTGCAGGAATGCAGGGGGGAAGCACGGGCCTGGCTTGGATGGAGCCTTTTGCCCTTTGCTCAGGGGCCTCAGCTCCACCCTCTGAGAGCAGCAGAGAACTGCTGCAGGGCAAGAGTTCAGTTAGGTGCAAGTCAGTGATGCAGCCACTGGGCAAAGGGAAGAGGGGAGAGGAACTGACACCAAAATCACACAATCACATTACTGGGACTTTACTGAGCTGCAACACAAATACATTCACAACAGGCCAGAGCAAGAGGTGCACACAGGACCACCACCACAGCAGCTGGGCTTGCAGGAACACCCTCTCCTCAAGTTATAGAGCAAGGGGCTGACAGGTGGGATCCATCCTGGGGGACTGGAGAGCACTCAGACATCAGGGCCGAGTCCTACCTGGTCACTGCAAGCAGTTCAGCCCCAGCAGCAGTGGGAGTTTCTGCCTCTCCCTCCAAGAGGATTTGGGACCCAACAGCTCAGTACAGTAGAATTCTATCTTCATGAATATTTTACAAAGTTGAGCTTCAGGAGAACTGAGGCACTTTTCATTATTCCGTACTCTTCCAGGACTTCACTTGCCCGGATCCTTTAGGCACGAGGAACCTTCTAGACTGCTCCAAACCTTCACGGTCCACTTGTTCTTCTTGCCACACTTGGACCAGCTCAGTGTCCCTGCAGAAAGAGAAAATTCAATGACTCTCCCTGAAATCAGAACCTCCCCTGCTTTGCTTTCCCATTCCATGTTTTGTTCCCTACACAACTGAGGCCCTTCCAGGCCTTGCCAAGTGGCAGCCAAGGAATCCAACCCAAGAACCTGCCAGGGAGCAGCCTCTGTGCCACAGCAACAGCATTCCAGGCCTGTCACTGCCAACCCTCCGCTTCTCCCAACAGCTCCAGTGGCACCAGAACTTGTCCTGAAGGCAGAAAGGCTCCTTTTGGGAGCACCACGAGCTATCTATACTGTAGCACTGGAATTCCATCTCCTGGACAAGCTGGGAGAAACAGAGAAGAAAGCCAGGACCTTACAGGTCAATTAGGGACATCCAACAGCAGCTCCGATAAAGGAACTGAGTCAACACCTCACCAAAGACACCGGACAGCAAGGGCCAACACCTTGACAATCACTTCAGTTTTCAATTTATAAAGCCAAATCAAAGCAAAGCTTTTCAGACACTTGGGAAGAGTCCATGCCATTGCAACCAGTTTGTGGGACTCATTCCCAGCCTGCTGAGGTTCATTTCCCACCTCACTCGTGGCTGCACTAGACCTGGTTACACACACACACACAGAAGGAGCTGCTGCAACTTGTCCAGTTTCCTGCTTCTCCTTGAAACTCCTCCAGCTGTTTGCCCAGCTCTCCAGGGTCCATTCCTTTGCCCACTGGACTTGTTCCCAGCCCCAGGGCTGCCAGGGCCACCCTGGGCTCTCACCTGCCCTCACACTGAGTGACCTTTCCCAGCCCCGAGTCCATCCAGCACTGACCGAGCTGCTGGGGGCTGCAGTTCTCCCTGCTCCTTCCCTCCCTCTGCTCCAGCGTTTTCCCCTGTGGGAAGAGGTGAATTAGTCTTTTGAAGGACCCGATGGCCAGAGGTGGGGGAAAAACTAGCAGCATTCCCTAAACACCTCCAGCACTTCCATATCCATCTGCGACCAGGGCCAACCTGGGCTAGGGGAAGGTGTCCCTTCTCAGGGAGTGGGGCTGCATGAGCTTTAAGGTCCCTTGCAACCCGAACCACTGCAGGATTCCATCACCATTCCACCATTTCTCCCTGCATTTGTTGTGCATCGCTTCCTCTCTTATTCAAATTCTCCAGTTTGGTCGGTCTCTTAAAGAATAATTTTAAGGTTATTCCAGGAATAAAAAGGGGAGTGGAAAACACACATGAATCATTCCTGCACCCATCAAATCCTTATTCATTGGGAGCACATGCCCTCATCTCTGTCCTTGTTTTTTTTTTTCTCCTGGGAAACCTTATGGTCATAGATTTTTCCAAGAGAGACCTGGGATTACCACGTTTGCTCTGTAAGAGGCAGGAGAGGTTCAGAATACCTGTTCCTCTGCATTTTGCCAGTGGGATTTTCCCACTTTTCAGAGATCATTTTTGTAGCTGCCCAAGGAAATTTCTGGAGCTGACCCACGACTGAGTACAGAGTGCAGCACAAAGGAACAACCAATCTCCCTCCAAAATATTTCCTGCCCTCTACAGACAGCCTCAAGACTTATGTCCAATATTTTCCCCACCTGTCCACTACTAATTCCCTCATTTTAACCCCAAAATGTTCATTCTGTCCCCTACATACTAACACAGATATGACCCCAGAGTGTCCATTCTGTCCCCTGTAGGTCTCTGGGGACACAGGGGGGTCCCTTTGATCTCAGGGCCTTGCTCCTGACCCTCTCCAGGGTGGAACAGCTGCAAATCCCAAGGCAGAAGGAGGGTGATCTGTCAGCCAAAGGCAGACAAACGGCTTCAGAAAAGATTTCTGCAACCTAACTGAGAAGGATTTCCAATCTCCCGGGGAGAAGAGCAGGAACTCACAGCCAACAATACCTGACAGTGCCCTGCAGCCACAGCTCAGCTCACGGACAGACTGGCAATTCCACCATCTAAAAGGAAACAAGACCAAGGAAATGGTGATTTCTTTGGCTTTCAAGTTATTTTCAGTTCTTAAAACAGAAGCAACACTTGCTTTGGAATTGTGTTGGGTGAACAATTGGCAGTGGGCACACGCCAGGGCAATAGTGCTGATTTCACTGATGCTCTCTGGGGCAGGAGCAGCTGAGCTCCTGAGTTCAGTTCCTGCCCAAGGTCTGACCCCAAAATGATCCCCTCCTCTCCACTGCTGATCACCTCCACATTTGCATTCACTGACCTGCAGAGAATCAAACTCCTTTTTAAGCCCCAAAACCCGCCTGGGCAGCCACAACTGATCACCTCTTTTAATTTTTAAGACAAGATCTTCATTCTCTCTCCCAGAGATCCCCTCAGATTTAACCCCTAAACTTTTCTCTTCCTGCACACCTCTGATTAACTCATTTTTACCTCCAAAGGTTCATTTTCTATCCTTGAGAGTTTCTCAAGTTTTACCCCCAAAGCTTTCCTTACCTGCCCAGGGCTGATGGCCTCACATTACCTCTCTCGGGTCGTTCCCTCCCCTACAAATAACATTCAGTTTTACCCCCACACTTTTCCTTCCTCTACATTTCCCATTTTAGCTTTGTTAACCCATAACTGGGGACACAGGGGGTCCCTTTGATCTCAGGGCCTTGCTCCTGACCCTCTCCAGGGTGGAACAGCTGCAAATCCCAAGGCAGAAAGAGGAGATCTATCAGCAAAAGGCTTCAGAAAAGATTTCTGCAACCTAACTGAGAAGGATTTCCAATCTCCCGGGGAGAAGAGCAGGAACTCACAGCCAACAATACCTGACAGTGCCCTGCAGCCACAGCTCAGCTCACGGACAGACTGGCAATTCCACCATCTAAAAGGAAACAAGACCAAGGAAATGGTGATTTCTTTGGCTTTCAAGTTATTTTCAGTTCTTAAAACAGAAGCAACACTTGCTTTGGAATTGTGTTGGGTGAACAATTGGCAGTGGGCACACGCCAGGGCAATAGTGCTGATTTCACTGATGCTCTCTGGGGCATCAAGGCTGGAGCCTCTTGCCTGTGGCTGCACACACCCCAAAGATTTGGCAGAACTTCTCCCAGTTCAATGCTTTGTCCTGTCCTGAAAGAGAGCAGAGGGAAATTCAGTGCTCTGTGGAAGTCAAAGGCTCCTGGCTCTCACCCTGCTGTTCCCATGGCTCCCCAGAGGGTTCATCCCCAAACACGAGGGGTGGCAGTGCAATAGCCCAGCAGAGGCCCCCATTTCAGGGGCACCATTTCCCCCCCCGCAGGGGGTCCCACCCGCGGCGCCCCCTCCCCACCCCGGGCCGTGTCCCGCAGTGCCTGCCCCGCAGTCTCCGCCTGGCGGACACGGCCGGTACTGCAGCCCCGACAGCGCCGCCGCCTGCAAAGGACCCCCCGCGCCCCGGGGCAGCTCCACAGGCCCCCCTGCCCTCTCTGCCGCACAGCCCCCGCCCCGGGACGCTCCTGAAACAGCAGGGACAGGGCTCAGCCTCGCTGCAGCCATGGGACAAAGCAGCAACCCAAGGGAGACCCCAAAATGATCCCCTCCTCTCCACTGCTGACAACCTCAATCTACCTCCAAAGACTCAGTCTCTACCCACCAGATCATCCCAAGTTTAATCCCCTAAATTTTCCATTCCTGTCCACCCCTGCTCACCTCAATATTTTGCATTCACTGCCCGGAGAGAATCAAACTCCATTTTAAGCCCCCAAAACTTCCCTACAAACCACACCCTTTCCGGCCCACACCTTCCTTGAATGGCCCCAGCCCCGCCCCGCACCTTCCTTTTATGGCGGTAGCCCCGCCCCACACCCCCTCTTTTTCTGGTTATAGCCCCTCACCACACCTTCATTTTATGGCGGTAGCCCCGCCCCCGCACCTTCCTTTTATGGCGCTAGCCCCGCCCCGCACTTTCCTTTTATGGCGCTAGCCCGCCCGCACTTTCCTTTTATGGCGCTAGCCCCGCCCGCACCTTCCTTTTATGGCGCTAGCCCCGCCCCGCACTTTCCTTTTATGGCGCTAGCCCGCCCGCACTTTCCTTTTATGGCGCTAGCCCCGCCCCGACACTTTCCTTTTATGGCGCTAGCCCCGCCCCGCACTTTCCTTTTATGGCGATAGCCCCGCCCCGCACTTTCCTTTTATGGCGCTAGCCCCGCCCCGCACTTTCCTTTTATGGCGCTAGCCCCGCCCGCACTTTCCTTTTATGGCGCTAGCCCGCCCGCACTTTCCTTTTATGGCGCTAGCCCCGCCCCGCACTTTCCTTTTATGGCGCTAGCCCCGCCCCACACTTTCCTTTTATGGCGCTAGCCCCGCCCCGCACTTTCCTTTTATGGCGCTAGCCCCGCCCCACACCTTCCTTTTATGGCGTAAGCCCCGCCCACACCTTCCTTTTATGGCGCTAGCCCCGCCCTCCTGCGCTTTTTATGGGTGCAGCCCCGCCCCGCATGCGCCTTTTTCGGGCATATCCCCACCCTTCCTTTACCTTTTTTGGCCATGGGCACGCCCCGACACTCCTTGTACGGACAAGTCCCTGCCCCTCGGCTCCTTTCATGGCGGCGCCCACCGCCCGTTCCCCGCCCCGCCTTCCAGGCAGGAGCGGGCACTCCCGGGTTTCGTCGTGCAGAAAGCCCCGTTCTTTTTGGAACCTCTTGCTCCAGCCTTTTTCCCTGGGCGAAGAGGTGAATTAGTCTTTTGAAGGACCCGATGGCCAGAGGTGGGGGAAAAACTAGCAGCATTCCCTAAACACCTCCAGCACTTCCATATCCATCTGCGACCAGGGCCAACCTGGGCTAGGGCAAGGTGTCCCTGCTCAGGGAGTGGGGCTGCATGAGCTTTAAGGTCCCTTGCAACCCGAACCACTGCAGGATTCCATCACCATTCCACCATTTCTCCCTGCATTTGTTGTGCATCGCTTCCTCTCTGATTCAAATTCTCCAGTTTGGTCGGTCTCTTAAAGGAATAATTTTAAGGTTATTCCGGGAATAAAAAGGGGAGTGGAAAACACACACGAATCATTCCTGCACCCATCAAATCCTTATTCATTGGGAGCACGTGCCCTCATCTCTGTCCTTGTTTTTTTTTTTCTCCTGGGAAACCTTATGGTCATAGATTTTTCCAAGAGAGACCTGGGATTACCACGTTTGCTCTGTAAGAGGCAGGAGAGGTTCAGAATACCTGTTCCTCTGCATTTTGCCAGTGGGATTTTCCCACTTTTCAGAGATCATTTTTGTAGCTGCCCAAGGAAATTTCTGGAGCTGACCCACGACTGAGTACAGAGTGCAGCACAAAGGAACAACCAATCTCCCTCCAAAATATTTCCTGCCCTCTACAGACAGCCTCAAGACTTATGTCCAATATTTTCCCCACCTGTCCACTACTGATTCCCTCATTTTAACCCCAAAATGTTCATTCTGTCCCCTACATACTAACACAGATATGACCCCAGAGTGTCCATTCTGTCCCCTGTAGGTCTCTGGGGACACAGGGGGGTCCCTTTGATCTCAGGGCCTTGCTCCTGACCCTCTCCAGGGCGGAAGAGCTGCAAATCCCAAGGCAGAAGGAGGGTGATCTGTCAGCCAAAGGCAGACAAATGGCTTCAGAAAAGATTTCTGCAACCTAACTGAAAAGGATTTCCAATCTCCCGGGGAGAAGAGCAGGAACTCACAGCCAACAATACCTGACAGTGCCCTGCAGCCACAGCTCAGCTCACGGACAGACTGGCAATTCCACCATCTAAAAGGAAACAAGACCAAGGAAATGGTGATTTCTTTGGCTTTCAAGTTATTTTCAGTTCTTAAAACAGAAGCAACACTTGCTTTGGAATTGTGTTGGGTGAACAATTGGCAGTGGGCACACACCAGGGCAATAGTGCTGATTTCACTGATGCTCTCTGGGGCAGGAGCAGCTGAGCTCCTGAGTTCAGTTCCTGCCCAAGGTCTGACCCCAAAATGATCCCCTCCTCTCCACTGCTGATCACCTCCACATTTGCATTCACTGACCTGCAGAGAATCAAACTCCTTTTTAAGCCCCAAAACCCGCCTGGGCAGCCACAACTGATCACCTCTTTTAATTTTTAAGACAAGATCTTCATTCTCTCTCCCAGAGATCCCCTCAGATTTAACCCCTAAACTTTTCTCTTCCTGCACACCTCTGATTAACTCATTTTTACCTCCAAAGGTTCATTTTCTATCCTTGAGAGTTTCTCAAGTTTTACCCCCAAAGCTTTCCTTACCTGCCCAGGGCTGATGGCCTCACATTACCTCTCTCGGGTCGTTCCCTCCCCTACAAATAACATTCAGTTTTACCCCCACACTTTTCCTTCCTCTACATTTCCCATTTTAGCTTTGTTAACCCATAACTGGGGACACAGGGGGTCCCTTTGATCTCAGGGCCTTGCTCCTGACCCTCTCCAGGGCGGAAGAGCTGCAAATCCCAAGGCAGAAGGAGGGTGATCTGTCAGCCAAAGGCAGACAAACGGCTTCAGAAAAGATTTCTGCAACCTAACTGAGAAGGATTTCCAATCTCCCGGGGAGAAGAGCAGGAACTCACAGCCAACAATACCTGACAGTGCCCTGCAGCCACAGCTCAGCTCACGGACAGACTGGCAATTCCACCATCTAAAAGGAAACAAGACCAAGGAAATGGTGATTTCTTTGGCTTTCAAGTTATTTTCAGTTCTTAAAACAGAAGCAACACTTGCTTTGGAATTGTGTTGGGTGAACAATTGGCAGTGGGCACACGCCAGGGCAATAGTGCTGATTTCACTGATGCTCTCTGGGGCATCAAGGCTGGAGCCTCTTCCCTGTGGCTGCTCACACCCCAAAGATTTGGCAGAACTTCTCCCAGTTCAATGCTTTGTCCTGTCCTGAAAGAGAGCAGAGGGAAATTCAGTGCTC